TATGTTATGACTCAGTTTAAACTGTTGATCTCTTCTTGGTTTAACTTTGGTGTTTCCCATGATTTCAGATATCCACCCATTTCTTTTAGATTATCAGATTAAATAGCATATAGGTTTTTAAAACATTCCCTTATAATGGTCTGGATCTTTTGGGTGTCTGTTGTGATGTTTCCCCTTCCATCCCTGCTTTTGTTGATTTGGATTTGCTCTTTCTTTGGTTAACTAGGCTAAGGGTCTATCTTTTTTTTTTTTCTTTTTTCTTTTCTTTTTTTTTTTTTTTTTTTTTGGTGTTTTTGAGACAGGGTCTCCCTGTAGCCCTAGCTGGCTTGGATTGGCTATGGAGACCAGGCTGGCCTCGAACTCACAGAGATCCACCAGCCTCTGCCTCCTGAGTACTGGGATTAAAGGCACATGCCACCACATCTGGCCAGGGTCTGTCTGTCTTGTTTAGCTTTCCAAAGAACCAGCTTTTAGATTCATTGATTCTTTGTATTGTTTTCTTTGTTTCTATTTCATTAATTTCTGCTTTTATTTTTGTTATTTCTTCTCTTCTGCTGGGTTTGGGTTTCATTTGTTCTGGCCTTTCCAGTGTCTTGAGTTGAAATGTTAGGTCATTTATTTGGGCTCTTTCTAATTTTTTAATGTACACACTTAGAGCTATAAACTTCCCTCTTCGGACTGCTTTTAATGTGTCCCAGAGGTTATGTTGTGCTGTATTGTCCTTTTTGTTGAATTTCAGGAATTCTTTTATTTCTTTCTGAATTTCTCCTTTGACACACTCATTGTTTAGGAGTGTGTTGCTCAATCACCACAGTCTTGTGTAGACTAGGGCTTGTCCAGTGTTGATTTTGAGCTTTATTGCACTGTGGTCTCATAGAATGCATGAAATTACTTTAATTGTTTTGTATTTGTTGAGGCTTGTTTTGTGGCCCAATATGTGGTCAATTTTTGAAAAAGCTCCATGGGGTGCTGAGTAGAAAGTGTATTCTTTGGTGTTTGGGTGGAATAATCGAAAGATATATGTTAGGCATCGGGTACTAAAGTCCCCTACTATTACTGAGTTGTGGTTAATGTGTGTCTTAAATTCCTGTAGTGTTGTTTTTATGAATTTGGGTGCCCCAGAGTTAGGTGCATATATGTTAAGGACTGTAATATCTTCTTGGTCAGCTGTTCCTTTGATCAGAATGAGGTGACCCTCCTTGTCTCTTCTGATCACTTTTACTTTGAAGTCTATTTTGTCAGATATTAGAATTGCAACCCCTGCTTGTTTCTTAGTGCCATTTGCTTGGAATATTCTTTTCCATCCTTTTCCCTTAAGGTGGTGCCTTTCCTTGAAGGGGAGATGGGTTTCTTGCAGACAGCAAAGAGATGGATTTTGTTTCTTAGTCCATTTGCTTAGCCTGTGTCTTTGGACTGGGGAGTTCAGTCCCTTGATATTCAGGGTTATTATTGAAAGATGTGTATTGGTTGCCATCATTTTGATTGCTGTTTATGTTCTCTAATTTTGTGTTTCTAGATTATACCTTTACTTATTTTCTTTTGTTGCCCCTGGGGAATAGTTGTTTCTCTCTCTGCTCTCTGTATTGCTTCAAGTATTCTTTGAAGGGCTGGTTTTGTGGTCATGTATTCTTTCAGGCTTTTAATGTCGTGGAAGATTCTTCTTTCCCCCTCAACTATAATAGATATTTTTGCTGGGTAAAGTATTCTGGGCTGGCATCTATTGTCAAGTAGAACTGGAAATACCTTGGTCCAGGCTCTTCTGCTTTCACAGTTTGATGAGTCAGCTGTAATTCTGATGGGCTTTCCTTTGTATGTGACTTACTGTTTTTCTTTTGCTGCTTTCAGTATTCTCTCTTTGTTCTGTACATTTAGTGTTTTTACTATGATATGTTGTGGGGAATTTCTTTTCTGATCCTGTATATTTGGTGTTCTATGTGCTTCCTATATTTGTATGGGGAAGTCTTTCCTTAATTTCAGGAAATTCTCTTCTCTCTGCTTAAGAGCTGATCAATACCATTAACCTGAATTTCTTCTTCCTCTATTCCTATGATCCATAGATTTGTTCTTTTCATGATGTCCCACATCTCTTGCATATTCCATTCCTGTGGTTTTTAAAATTTTCCATAATCTTTGCTTGAGTGGTCCAATTCTTCAACTTTATCCTCCAGTGTTGATATTCTGTTTTCCACTGCATTCATTCTAGCGGTGAGGCTTTCCCCTGTTGTTTCAAGTCGGCTTATTCAGTTTTGCACTTCCTTCTTCGTTTCTGCCTGAGTTTTCTTCCATGTGTCCATCTCTTTTATGAATTCATTCAGAAGTTTATCCCTATCTTCTTTTAGTTCTTTGATTTGTTTGTTCATGTGTTCTTTAAATTCATTGAATTCCTTGATCATGTTTATAACTGTTCTTTTGAGTTCTGTGTCCTGCATTATCTCTAGTTTGTAGAACTCTTCTACAGGATTGGTGGAGTTTGGAGGGGACATAGTGTTTTGTTTTTCCATTTTATTATTCTTTCGTTGTGATTTTGGCATGTGAATTTCTTTTGTTGTTTATGATTCTGATCTGAAAATTAAGTTGAAGTATGTTTTTGTTTGTATTATCCAGGTGCCTAGATCTGTTCTTTATTGGTTATGTAAAGCTTATTGGTACAGGGTTCAGGTTCTCTCAGGTTTAATTTGGAAGGAACTAATGGCTTCCGATCAGCTATTCAGAAGTACCCACAGAAGCCCAATTCAGGTTCCACTCAGGTACATTCATGCTTCCTTCACCATGTGGAGTCAGGATCTGGATGCTCTCAGGCCATCCACCCTCTCAGGTTGTCTGCTAGGATCTCAGCCTTAGCCTACCAAAGCCAGATCTGTCCAGGGGCCTTGGGAGAAGCCTCAGAAATTCCCAGGTGGGGGGATGGGTATGGCACAATTAGGGGAAGCTCACCATCACGTGGAGGCAGGAACTGGGGGCTCTCAGGCAGTCCCCTACATTCTCAGGCCCTCTGCCTAAGGGAGGCCAGAGGGAAGCTAGAACCCAACACTCTCTGGTGGTCACCTTGTGGAGGCAGGATCTGGGACTCTCAGGCAGTCCCCTGTGTTCTCAGGCCCTCTGCCAGAGGGAGGCCAGAACTCTGGTACTTGCTGGTGGTCTGCTGAGATCAGAGCCACTACACCAATGGAAGTCCAAACCCACCCTCCCATTACACTTTCTTTACCAACCAAAAGCATGCCCCTCTTTCCGCATGAAACTTAAAAAAGGTTTCAGGAGTAGCCAGCCTTCAAAATGGTCCTCAGTGACCTTGTCTCCTAATCTTCTAACTTTATGTGGTCCCTTGAGGAAGGGTAGAAAGGGAAAGTTAAGGGTACATGGGAAGGATTGGAAGTTCTTCATCCCACGGTCTGAAGTGTCTCATCAACAGAGTCAAGAATTCCAGCACAGGAGCTGGAGAGATGGCTCAGTGGTTAAGAGCACTGGCTGCTGTTGCAGAGGACCTGCATTCGAATCCAGCACCCACATGGCAGCTAACAACCATCTGTGACTCCAGTTCCAGGAGATCTGACACCCCTTTCTGTCCTCTGCAGGCATTGCATGACATGGTTATACATGCATTCAGGCATAACACTCATGCACATAATAATAAATGAATCCAAAAACAACAACAAAAGAATTCCAGCACAATTAACATTTGCTGTGAAAGCTGCCTGCATAGAGACACTATCCTTTTTAAATAGAAATGCTTCAAATAAGAATGTCAAAATGGGGCTGTTTAGTCCTAACACTTAGGAAGCCTAGAGCCAGGTGGATCTCTATGAGTTCAAGGCCAGCCTGGTCTACATAGTGAGTTCCAGGTCAGCTGGGGCTACAGGGAGACCCTGTCTCAAAAAGACCAGAGAGAGAGAGAGAGAGAGAGAGAGAGAGAGAGAGAAATGTTACTAGCTGCTCTTGCAGAGGACCAGGGTTTGAGTCCCAGTACCTAGGCACCTAGTTCCAGAGCTGTTCTTGCAGAGGACCAGGGTTTGAGTCCCAGTACCTAGGCACCTAGTTCCAGCAGATCTGACACCCTTTTCTGGCCTCTGTGGCCATTGCACCACCCAAGTATACTTACATACATGCATACAAAACACTCATACACTTAAAAAAATGAATCAGGGGCTGCAGCCTGAGAGCAGCCCCTCCTCTATAGTGGGGCGGGGTGAGGGTGGGGAAACTCCGTGGTCTGTCCTAGGTTAGTTCTGGAAGTGAAGACTGCTGGTTTTCCTCTGTTTCCGAGGGGCTCCTGGAGACTGGTGGTGACTGAGAGGGTCCCGGGACCAGCGGTGAGCACATACCAACCAGGCCTCTTAACTACTCCCTTAGGAGCCTGCATGCAAGTGCCCTGGAATCCAGAACCCATCCTGGAGCCTGCACAATCAATCCATGGTAAAGCTCATGTCTTCTGGATTGCCATCTGTCTAGGGCACAAGTGGGTCCTGAGAGGCATCAATGCCTCAGTGCCCACCAAAGGACTGCTAGGACTAATTGTCTTGGCAAACTTGTGGCCAGCCAAACCTTCCATGCTTCACATCCCTGTTATCCTTGGTCACCACCCAAGATCAGCTAACAGAAGAGGTGAAATGTGGTCTAAAAGACCTTCTGACAAAGAAGTGCCTCCTCAGAATCCCCCCAAGGATGAGTCTGGCCCGAGGAGGACAAGAGATGATCCTCCTATAAGCTGGCAGTAGGAACACAGGGACGTGAAAGATGACTTTAGAAGAAAACATTCCTCCTCTTCCTGTTACTCAAGAGAAAGTTCTCCTTATAAAAGGGATACATATTTTTTCAGGAAATCAAATGTAGATAGAAAGAACTCCCCACACAGCAAATCTGGATGCAGGGTGAATTATCTCAGCTAATTAGCCTAACCTAAGTTACTCCTTTTTGCCTAGAACAGCCATTTCAGAAGTGCCCTTTCCTCTACTCATGGGAAATATTCAGAAGGGAGAGGCAACCTTGAGTTCCAGAAATGGCCTAACCACAAAACCACAGAATGTTCTGATCTAGGCCCTGCATCTGGCTAACTGCTTATCTCGCTTCTGTAAGCTCACCTCTGCCCACACAATAACAGGTTGTTGATTGGTAAATTCAAATTTTGTTATGTGAACCTGATTGGCCCACTGATGTTCTGTTTGAACCATGCTTTCTGTAATCCTATAAAAACTCTGGCTGGCTGATGCTCGGAGCTGCTTCTGTTCTGGACATAGGCCAGTCGGCCGAAATAAAACCTCACCTTGCTGCTTTCAGTTAAGTGGCGTTGGTGATTTTTACTTGGAATCTGGCATATAACACAGGGGAAGGCAGTCTCCAAAACGAAGCAGACCATATTCTTCCCGTCCATCTCAGCATAGAAAGCCTGAGCATGCTCATGCCTCCTACAGATGGCACAGTGAAGGAAAGCCAGAAGTTAAAGAGAAACCAGGTCAGTCTTTGAAAGCATCAAGAAACGAGAACCCCTCACGTTCATCTGCAGTACCTTCATTGTGGGACCCTGACTCGTCTAACCACTTCTTTCTGCTTCTGTAATTTGCTTGGCTTAAGGTGGCACTAACCATTTTGACTAGCTGTTTCAGGCAAGCCCAGGCATACCCAGGCATGTTGTAATCTTCAGTTACCACCCCCATCCCAGAAAGCTATAGATCAAGCAAGGTAAAAACAGAAACTTCTGGCCCCACAGATAACAGTCAGCACATTCCAATGCCCTAAAGACAGCCCCTACCAATAAGAATCCTCCCCGTACTCAGGGCATAGGACCATCCAATCATTTTAAAGGATGCTTGGTGAGAGAGGGCTTCTGTGAAACTTCCCTATAAAAGCCTACCCCACCCTAGATTGGGGCCCTCAGTATGGATCTGCTGCGTGGGTGAAATCTGAGGGCGAGCTTAAGCCCGAATAAAGGCTCTTTGCTGTTGCATACACTCCGGACTCCTTGGTAGTCATTGGGGGTCGCGAGATCTGGGTGTAACATTCATCGAAGATGTTAGACAAACCCAGCAGACTCACTGAAGAACTTAAAACTACATCCAAGCAGACTGTGGAAAAACCAGAAACGTCAGATGACAATGATTTACCTAAAGTTTCTGAGTTTGAGATTGGATTCATGGACCAACCAGAAGAATCTAAGTCAAAAAGAACCGTTGGCATAGAATTAGTTGGTGACTACCAAATAACAAATTGCCTTAAAGCCACAGCATCAAAAACCGAGGAAACTGAACAGGCATACTACCAGGACTGTGAAACGTTCGAGATGGTGGTGAAAATGCTGATTGGAAAAGATCCTTCATTAGAAAAGCCCATTCAGTTTGTGCTTAAGCAGAATTTACATGAAGTAAGTGAGCGTTGTGTTATAGAACTCAAGCATTTCATTGCAGAGTACGATGCTTCTACTCAAGTCTTCAGAGAATCTTCTTAAGAATTGGTGCTTGAGCAAAAAAAAAATATTTCTAGATTGTTATTCCAGGATTACATAAGTTTTTATATGTGGAATTTATGTGAAGGGAGATACTTCATGATAGGCCATATTTCCAGAAGCAAATAAACATCTAAAATATCAACAAAGAAAATGAATCAATCAAAAATTATTTTAAGAAAAAGAACATCAAAACAGCAATGAATTATACTTAAGACCTAAGGGTAGATAGTTTTTCTTATTTCCCAGCTGCAAACCTACAAGTTTCTAGGAATCTCATAAATTCCATTTACAGTAAAACACATATCTTAGTTCCCTTGTTCAACCCTTGGGACTTGTGGTTTTACCTTATCAGATTTCAATCCAAGGTACCATCAGGGCTACCCTATAATCTTGTTAACCAAAAAAAGGGGAAAGGGAAGAGAAGGAAGGTTCTTTGAACCCTTTGAGATATGACTTGTGAGAGCTACGAATCATATATATCCATGGCTAAGTCACTTCAGTGTGAGTCCCTCTGGAGAAGCCCACGCCTGCACTCTTGAGAATGTCTTACCCTTTCCTTGAATACCTCTTTCTAGTAACACCCACACTTGAATCTATGTTTAAAATCTTTTTATGATAAATTCCAACTCTGCTTCATATTGGCTCATCCTGAAATTTCTTTCTGTGAAGTCAAGAATTCAGCTTTACCTGAAAAGAATTCCTCAGGATGCCTAAGGCAGCTCCTCACTGCGCTGCCACCTCCTCCACTCTCGGAATACGCTTGACCTGTGTTCTCAGGAAGGTTGTGTGAGAGACTCTGGGGCAAGGCTACAAAACACATCCTGGCTTCTGCTTGGCTTGCTCTGGAGTCTCTGTCTCTCTCTGGAGGAAGGTAGCAGCCCCTGAGGGCTCACGGAGATATCCATGAGAAAAAGAACTAAGGCCTGCTGCCCACAGCCAGCACCAACTGGCCAGGGCTGGGAAGAGTCACCTTGGAAGTAGATCTCCAGCCAGTCAGACTTTGAGAGAAACCAGAAACCAGAATTACAACTAAATAGCTCCAGAATCCTTGGCCCACTGAAAGTGTTTGAATGTAAACTGTTCTATAACAATAAATAACTAACATAGCCTGTTAAAACTTTAGAATCCTTTTAAAACAATTTTTCAAAAAATAGTGCAATGTAATAGATATGTTTCTTCTAAGAGAATTTATTTTAGAAATAAAAATGTGAGTGATTTTCATGTGGCTCAAAAAGGATATGTGTGCTACGTTCTTACAGGCCTTGCATGGCCACACAGGAAATGAAGATTTGAAAGAAGAAACAATGCTTTTGAACAAGCCATTTCCTCAAATATCTTAATAGAATTAATCAATTTGGGGCTTTCACAAAGTGAGTTTTACCACAAACACTGTATTGATTTTGAAAACTTTTTCTCATGCCACAAAACACTGCTTCATCAGACTTCAGCATCCGCTGAGCAAGATCTGCCCATCAGAAAGCCTGTTTACTTCTAAAGTCCCTTGGAAGCCTTTACGACCTTTCGGGAGTTTGCTTTTATGGCATGCAATCCAAAACTCCAAAATCATCCCAAACCCCTACCCCAGTTTGCCACGTGATCTGAAAGTGCGGGGTCATCTCAGAGTCTTCAGGACAGAGAAAGGTTTCGATAAATAGCAAACTGAAAAGTGTTCTGCTCTGACATTTGATCTGTAGCATAAACCATTTCTCCATTTTCTGCTACAAATGAGGAGGTATAGTATCTGATATATATATAGTCTGTACCAGAGACAGTGGACAACAACTGTAACATCCAGCAGGGCAAATGGCCTCCAGGACTTGGTGGCCACATGAGGAATGGTTCTCATTCTACCAATTCTGCAGTTGGTTTTGGATCTCATTTCTGGAAACCTCTATACCTCAAGCCTTATTTTTCCACAGTTCTTGCAAGCATTTTGTACATCATCCAGAATTAAGAGTGCTGACTGCAAAGTTCCTGTTCAACACTGATGCAGCTGAGCAGGTTGACTCTCCAAGGAGCCCCACCCTAGGTCCAGAAAACAGGCACACTTTCTTCGAAGAACAGAGCTTGAAGGACTGGATTTGCCGGTTACAGGCCCAATTCACTCAGTCACGCTGTTCTAGAGTCACAAAGAGGTAGGTTGTCTGGACTTTGGAGTTTGCCACCTCTTCCTTCCAAGCAGCTCTGGTTATAGGTCTGGGTTGAAGATCATACCCTACTTGCTCTTCTTTGGGCTTTAATCCTTAAGGTTTTTAAAGATTTGGACTCCAGAAAAGGTGCTCTCTCTTCTTCAGTGCAAGTTCAGACAGAGATTGATGGTGATAAACATGTTTCAAACACCCTAATATTAGTCAACACTAAGTTTCAGAGTTCCATAAATAAATACTGTTCTTATCTTGATTTCACTCCTAGCTGATGGGCAGCAGATGTTTGTTGTACACATTTCTCCTGTTAAATTAACTCAAAGTACCTGGTTATAATTCAGTAATATTTTAAGATTTTTGTATTCTATGTGTCCACCAAGTTAGGCATTCTCTTTGGAGTTTACAATATGCATCAGCCCTCCATTTATAAACATCACTTATTTATTATTTTTGGTCTTTTTGAGACAGCATCTCCCTGTAGCCCCAGCTGACCTGGACTTGCTATGGAGACCAGGTTGGCCTTGATCTCATAGAGATCTGCCCGCCTCTGCCTCCCGAGTGCTGGAATTAAAGGTGTGTGCCACCTAATCTGGCTTATTTTTTGTTTTTTGAAATAGGGTCTTAGTCTGTAGGCCAGGCTGGCTTATAACTCACTATGCAGCCCCAGCTGCCCTCAAGCTTGCAGCAATTCTCCTGTCTCAGCCTCCATGTGCTGGGATTGCAGGCAAACCATACCTGGCTTATAAACATAATTTATAATGGTAAAATAAATATTCATACGCCAGTTCTGAAGACTCGCTGTTTTGAATTTATAACAATTATCCAGGTGTGGTAGTTTATACCTATAATCTCAACACTTGGAAAATTGAGGCAGAAGAATCATGAATTCCAGCCCAGCCTAGGCTACATAGTTTGAGGTCAGCCTAGACTATGTAGTGAGACCCTATAGCCAAAACAAACACAGAGGCCTGGTATGGTGGTACATGTCTCTTGTCCCAATACTTGTGAGGTAGAGGTAGGAAGATTACCACAAGTTTGAGACCAGCCTGGTCCACTTAGCAAGTTCCAAGCCAGTCAGTGTGACATAGGAAGAACCTGTCTCAAACAAATAAACACAGCAATAACAATGAAAACATAACAGGAACAAAAAGAGACTTTGTTGTAATCATCCCTTACCCTGTTTCCATTATCCAAGTTGGAGACAAAGCCTTCAACACATGAGCCTTTGGGGACAGTCTAGAGCCAACCTGATATGTATGTCAAGAATCTCCTGTGCTTTCACAGGCTACTGGAATGCCACTTTGATTATCTTGACAGAGAGGATCCACCCCTTGTTCCTCTCAATAGATAATTGACAAATTGAAACCAATCTGGCAGCTCCATCTTGTAGTGAAAACAGGCCTTGACCACTTCAATTTCTGGTTAGATGATTAACCTCTCCATACCCGGCATAAACTTCGAAGACATCATTTTGAATTTTGGCTAGGCAAATAACAGGCAAAATTAAAGAAGAAATTCCTGGGATCTCAAGTAAAATTGTGCTATGAATTGTTTTTATCATTTCTAAAAATCTTGGTTAAGAAAGTTCCTGTGGAAGATTTGTTTACTACAAACAAGAATGCAGGAACCAGTGAGATAGCTCTGTATAAAGGCACTTGCCACCAAGCCTGACAAAATGAATTTGAACCCCACATGGTGGAAGGAGAGAACTGACTCCTGTTAAGTTGTCCTCTGACCTACACACACACACACACACACACACACACACACACACACACACACACTAAATATATAAAAAAGAATTAAAAAGAAAAGAATGGGGAGGATCTCTGAACACTTCTATCTCCAGGATGCACCTGATATAATGCGTGCAAGGCCTTGGACCAAACTGCTGGGCGGCCTTTGACACTGTTCCCCCAGTTTCACTTTTCCAAAGTCTTGTTCTTTTGGTTTCTGTAACCTCTTCCTATGCTGGTTTTCTTCCAACCTCTCTAATTCTTCCACGTTCTTTCTTAAGTAGAAACCGTTAAATCTAGGCTTTTTCCATTGGTCTTATGGTCAGCTCTGGCAAGTTCATCTAC